GATAATAATGACCTAAATAAACTAGACATTTCCAATTATAACGATCAGCTTTTATTCCATTTAAAAAAGCCATCAAGCTGTAATTATATTCTGCCATTTCCCAATAGATTATACCCAAAAGTAACCATGTTTCAGAAGTTTCTAAGACTGAATCAAGAACATTCACAGCTTCATCTAGTTGTTTATTTTGTTTTAAATATAACGCTCGAAGAATATTAGCTTGTGATTTAATTTCATGTTTTGATTCCAAATTATTCAACAAATTATATGCATTTGGCTGATTTAATAATATACTGAGACGTGCATGAATAAGATCCAACTGCATTGAAGTATGTGTCTTTAAATGCTAATTAAAAATTAAATAAATATATAAGTGCATATACATAAACAAATAATAAATAAATATTAAAAAAATTTATCATAAAGGATCAAAAATCAATTTTACATTTTAAAAAAATTGTATATTTTGTTTTCCAGAGATTTTTTATTAATTTTTTTTAGAAATGAAATTTATCTTACAATCAATTGTTAAATTATTTCAATTTAAAGATGATTTCAGTATGATTTTAATATTACAAATATTCCATCTATACCTTATATTTTTTGGTATTAATTATAAATTCAAAAAATCAGGAATTCAATCAAAAATGAAGTTTGTAAATGGAGAAAATTCTTACTTGTTCATATATTTGTAAAGCAGTTTCCCATTTATGTTTATTATTACACCTACTCATTGCTTCTATTAATATTAGTTCCATTTTATATTTTAATTCATCTTTTAATTTATATTCCTTGATTTCTAATACTCGTTTGGCAGCTATTTCTGCATCTTCCCAACAATAAAGTTTCATACTGATTTCACTTAATGCCATCCAACCATGTATTGAATGTGATTTTAATACAAGCATATCTTTTAATATTTCTCGTGCCGAAATCAAGTCATTTGATTCTTTTAAATATATTGCTTTAGTAACTGCAGCAATTTCAGATTCCTTATTTAATTTTAGAAGACATTCATAAAATTGTGTCATATCAATATCAGAAAAATTTTTACCTAATATATTTTGTTCACAATAAATACGACATATATATTCTGAAATTAAAAAAAAAATAATGAAATTATTCTTACATATATATCAATAATCTAAAACTCAAAAGAAATTGCAAAATATCTATTAAATATCTTATAAATTTTAGATTTTTTAAGTTAATGTGATTATACATAGATATAAGAATAATGAAGATAATGTATAAACATGATATAGGCTAATTGATAAAATCATTTAACTAAATTAATATTTTGCATAAACATATTTGAAAATAATAAATATAAAAATTAAATATTTTAATTACAAAAATAAAAAAGAGAGAGGAGAAAAAGAATTAGCAATTAAATTTATATGAATGCGCATATAAATACACAATAATTCATATTCATGAATATACAATAATTTTGAGAATATTGCCTAATTATAACATGAGAACAAATAGTTTAAATATTAATATTGTTCCATCTTGATCTTTAGATTAATTATCTATTTCTTTTTTTTTCTTTGCTACATTTGTTCTAAAACAAATATTTTTCATATATGTTTTAAACATATTTTTGTATAACATTCATTATAAAAATAATTTGATTTTTAATAGATATTTAGTCTTATTTAGTTTACATTAGATTTCAAACTCTTAATTTCATTTTATTTCATTTCTCTTTATAATGCTCTTAAATTTTTAAATATAGAATATATTAAGAAATATATAATAATAATAATAATAATATATAATAATATAATATATATATATATATTAATTTTTATGTATATTTTTATGTATCTATGTCTAATTTTTGTAATAGAAACAGTACTGCAACAATTTTAGAATATAACTGAAATTTTGAATTGTTGAATATTTCATGACTTTATATTTCAATAATATAGAATAATGAGATATTCAATAATTATATAATTATAGAAGTTACAGAAGATAAAAAAAATTCTGTGTCTGTAATATATATTAATTGTAAATAAAATTATAATAATAATAATATTCTTCAAAAACATCAACATAAATTCAATATAATCTACATACAAGTATTCAAAAGCATTTTTATATTATTTTCATACATTAGTTATTAAAAAAGTTATTGTATTATTTTTTTGAATATTTTACCTAATGATATCATATCTTGTGGAAATTGCTGATGCATATTTATAGCTTCTTTCATTAAAATAATTAATTCATCTTTGTCATATAATATTTTCAAATATTTTTTATAAAAATGTTGTTGTTCAATTGTCTCAAGATCATTAATTGAAGATTTAAAAACATTTTTTAATAAATCTTGATATTTATCTAACTTATTAATATTATCTAATAAAATTCTTCCAAGTACTTTATCAATCATTTTAATTTTATTATCATCCAATTCTTTTTGTAATTCACTTAAATCCTCAATGCACTGACTTAAAGTTGCAACATCTTTGAGTTGTAATGAAAGTTCTGAGATTTTATTCAAAATAAATGTAAATTTAGAGTCACTGAAAATAATGATACATTTGAAATATTAGATTTAAAAAATAATATAATTTTAAATATTATTTAATAATAAATTTTAGAATAAATTTATGAAATATATATAATATTTTTATACCTTTCAATCTGTAAAAGTTTGCAATAAGCCAATACTAATTTGTTATAACAATCATTATCATCCAAATTTTTTCATAATAAGTTATTAAACCATGCCAAGCTAATGGATTATCTGCTTGAATTTGTATACCTTTTTGAAGAATTAATGGTACTTGTGATTTATATTCATCTATTTCTTTCATTGCAGCCGCCAATAACATAAGTGCACCATAATTACATTGATCTTTTTTTAATATCTTTTTACATTTTTTAATTACATCTAAATATTTGTTTTCTTTAAATGCTGCACGAGCTTCTTTTAAAGTTATTTTTATTTCATCTGACATTTTCGTATTAAAAATTTGTTATAAATTAAAAAAAAAAATTAAACGTGTGTCTAAAACTTAAATCAGATATAAATAATTTTATATGTAATTTTTATATCTAAATATTAATTAAATATTATGTTAAAATGTTTAATTAAATATTTTTATAAAAATCTTAAAAAGCTTTATTCATAACCAAATACGATAATATAATTTCAAATATATGTTATTCATAATGTTTATTTTTAAGTTTTATTTTCAAATTTTTAAAACTTTTATTTTACATATCCTTACATTTTTTAATCTATATACATTACAATCACATTATTATAATTCAAATAAAAAATATATATAAAAACACAGAATAAAATACGTACAATCTCTTTTAATTTCATTATTACATAACGAATATTTCGTTTAAATTGATGATATTTTAATATAAATATTTTTCATTTAAATTTTTATATTATTATATTATAAAATTTTTTAAAGAAAAAATTTTTTTATGAACTATTGTAAATTATACGGCCACAGGCCATAGATAGCAAGCAGAATATATATTATACATTAAAGAATAGACAACATTTAATGTATTTTTTATTATATCTAAAAAAGTTTCAAAGAACCATTTTAGTATCATTTCGATGTTATAAAATTTGGTAGTAGTTGAAATTGAAATTAAGTTTTGTGAAAGTATAAATAAAATATATAATAAAATATTTTATAATATTAAATTTCATAAAATTAATCAAAAATAAATTAAGAAATATTCTATAACAAAAATAAAAATTAACATATCAATATATTACTTCTTAATGAATTTGAAATAATTATTAAACAGTTAATCATTTTAATCATCAATATATACAATTTTTTTTTTATATATTTTATAATATTCAATTGTAATTTTTGAATTACATGCAAAATACTATATGAATATGAATTATATGAAAATTATATTTTTTATGTTTTTGTATTTATTTATAAATTTTGACAAGTAGAATTATAAAAGAATTATAAATCAAAATACCTACATAAGTATGTACCTAATAAGATACAATAATTTTGAAAAATAATCGAAAATGCATTAAATTAACATTTCGTATATCGTTTGTATATCGGTTGTATAAAATAAATATAAAAAATTTAATATGGAAATAATATGGAAATAAAATATGGGAAAAGAATAGAGTTAAAATAAAAATTTTGGAATTAATTCTATCTTTAATACTGTAAATTGAATTGCATAGACAAAAAGCAAATAGAAAAAAAAAATAATTGTTAGCTTTATTGAACACAAAAAATATCTCTTTAAAGATAGAGTAAAGTAAAGTAAGAATTCAGAATTAGTGCTACCTTTTGATTGTTAGAAAAATATAAGAAAGATATTTTGAATATTTAAGAGATAATGTTGACTTTCAATTTTATATTATTTATAATCCATATACACATATAATGCATTTATAATATAGTGTTTCTTACTCAATTTAATATATCACAATCTAAATATATATATAATTAAATTACTCTAGAAAATATAGAATAAAAATTTTATGCTTATACATTTCATAATTTTAGAAATTAAAACGAAAATATTATTCATTATTATCTTAATAAACTTTTTTTTTAAATATCTTATGGTTTTTATAATAAAATGAAGTTTTAAAATTTTAAATTATTAAATGTTATTCAATTGTTTTTTTGATAATGGGTTATTAATAATGGGAGAAAATAGTATTGAAAAGGGAATTAACTACCAAATTTCTAAAATCTAAAAAAGCATTTTATATTAAGTTTATTTTGTACTCGTCTATGATATTATATTTGATAAATTTAGATCACCGATTGGATATTTTATATCACTTAAATTATAATATGGTGAAAAGCATAAGGAATACTTTTTTGAAGTTGGTATTTCAGAATATATGATACAAAATAGTATAAAATGTCATGCATATTCTATTTCTTATCTGTAGATTTATAATCTATGGTATATCATCTATATTCTACGCACATATGATGATCTGTGAGTATAGTCAGTTTTTGTATATTATCTTTGGTAAAACATAAGATGGTAGCATGAGAATTCTTTACAATGTGGGTAGTATGAAATAACCAATAGTCTGGTTGTGGCAGTGGCAATTCACGATTCTACGCGTCATATATGGACAGATGTAGAATTGTATTCATTGTAATGAAGTTATTATATTAAATATTGTGTAATATTATAAATTAATATATGCATTTTGATAAATGAATAGATTTATTTTTCATTACAAATCGATTTGTTAAATGTAATGTAGCAATGAAGTTTTTATGTCATTATTGCTTTCACAGAAATATGGTTATATTTAGTATATGACGACTTCAGTGTTTTGGAGCACGAAGCAGTGCCACTCCCTTATAATATTTAAACAACATTTTTATTATATCTGATAATTAGAAAAATGGAAGATATTTTTCAATGGTGTCGTGAAGGCAATGCTATGCAAGTGCGTGTTTGGTTGGATGACACTGAACATGATATGAATCAAGGGTAAATAGAAGAAATTTAAAAAAAATGCTATTTTTGTTTTTTTTATCTTGTTTTGAGATCAAATTTAAATACATTGTCTTTTTATTACTCTTACTTAAATAATTTTTTAACTTTTATACTTGTTGTTTAATTAATTATATTATATTAGTGTATTTTCATTCATTATTTATATATAGGGATGATCATGGATTTAGTCCACTCCATTGGTGTTGCAAAGAAGGACACCTAAAATTGGCAGAGTTATTAGTTAGCAGAGGAGCACGTATTAATGCTACCAACAGAGGAGATGATACTCCTCTTCATCTTGCTTCTGCTCATGGACACAAAGAAATAGTTCAATTGGTAATGTCAATTAGTAAAATATATTTAATGCATAAAATGAAATGAAAAAAGATTTTAATTTTTAAAAATTTATTTTTAAGAATTTAATGAAATTTATATTTATAGTTGCTTAGGAATCGCGCAGATGTCAATGTTACAAATGAACATGGTAACACTGCTCTTCATTATGCATGTTTTTGGGGTGATCAAGCAGTTGCTGAAGAATTAGTAGCTGCTGGTGCTCTTGTATCCATTGCAAATAAAGATGGAGATACTCCTTTAGATAAAGCACGAGGTCACTTAGCCAAAAGATTACATGGTAAAAATATATTAAAATATTAAAAATAAATTTTAAAAACTAAATAATTATTTTTTTAAATTATAAATTTTGGAAAAATTAATTAAAATGTATAATTACTATTTAATTTTAGAAAGTCAAATAATTAATCTCAATAAACTTGATTAATTTCACAAATGTGAAATTAATTATTATTTGCTTATATAAGATTTCATATAAGTGTAGTAATTAATTGATTGATTTTATGTCAAAAAATAAGTCAAAAATATAGAATAAAATTTTTTTATTTGAAGTTTTGTTTTCAAGATCAAATTTAAATAATTTTTAAATACAAGTAAAATTGCTTATTTTCCGATTAGACATTCAGATTTTTTTACATAAAATCAGTCCATATTCTTATAGGATATTCTATATATTTATGATTAACAAATTATTATATTATTGATTATTTAGATTTAGCTGTAGAATATGGACAAGATTTAAAGAAAATTCAATTTAAAGATCAAAGCTGGCTAGGTTTAAAAACTAGAAGTCGTAAGTAATGATTACATTAAATCAGAGAATAGATCAGAAAATAATATAATTAATGATCTATAATAATAAATTTATTAATCTATAATAATAACATTTATTCATATTATTCAGGTGATGCTACATTATCACGACACAAAGGAATAAACATGGCAGATCTATCTTTACATACTCGATTAGCTAGTACACCAAGTGGTGAAACATGGCGCGGACGTTGGCAAAACAATGATATTGTAGCAAAAATTTTAAATATACGTGAATGCACGGCTCGAATTTCAAGGGATTTTAATGAAGAATTTCCGAAATTACGAATTTTTTCACATCCCAATGTACTACCTGTACTTGGTTGTGTTAATCAACCACCAAAATTGGCTACAGTTTCGCAATATATGGCACGTGGAAGTTTGCATAGGCTTTTACATGGAGGTACAGGTGTCGTTGTTGATACTGCGCGTGCACTTAGGCTTGCTCTTGATGTTGCAAGAGCTATGGCATTTCTTCATGGGCTTGAAAGACAAAATAGATGCAGATTTCATCTCAATAGTAAACATATAATGGTATATATTTTGTTAATGATGATATTTTAATATGTAAACGTCAGAATAATAAAAATATTTCTATTTGTAGATAGATGAAGATTTAACGGCTCGCGTCAATATGGCAGACTCGAAATTTTCATTCCAAGAGGTAGGTCGAATTTATGAGCCAGCATGGATGTCTCCAGAAGCTTTAAGTAAACGTCCAGCAGATATAAATCTCGAGGCCAGTGATATGTGGAGTTTCGCTGTTTTATTATGGGAACTTGCGACTAGAGAAGTTCCATTCGCAGATCTTTCGCCAATGGAATGTGGCATGAAAGTTGGTTACTTTTTATATATCATTAATCTTTATTTTATTACATACATGTTACATAAATCTTTATCAGTATAAATATATTCTTTCTTGTATTTGTTATAGATCGCACTAGAAGATTTACGCGTTAGTATACCTCCAGGAATTTCACCACATCTTGCTAAGCTTATTAGGATTTGTATGAATGAAGATCCAGGGAAACGTCCATCTTTTGATATGGTCGTTCCTATACTCGATAAGATGAAACGTTAATTTTTGATATAATTTTTTTTACATCGTCAAATTGTTATAAAAAAGAAGGAAAGAATTACATATTTCCAAAGAAATGTAATGAGCTTAATCAGATTGCGCTTATAAAACGTCTCAATTGTTAATCTCGATTAATCTGTGTCAGATTGTTTCATTGCTTCGATTAAAATGACTGAAGTATATTTTTTATACAATCGTATTTGAATAAATAATGTGCCTCGAAAAACTTTCATAATATAATATTCATATATTATAAGCAATTATATTATTTATTATTTATATAAATATAAATAATAATATTTATATAAATATAAATAATAAACAATATATGTTTTATAATTATATTCATATTTTTGAAATAAATATTAATTCATTTATATATATATATATATATATTATAATAATCAGTTTTATATAGTTATTAATTTCATTCACAATACCATTTATTAAATGTTAATTATATAAGTTTGCATATTTAATATAACAGTTATTTTTTGGATTATTTTATTTTAAATATGGCCAGCTTATATTATATTAATGTTAAAAATTTATCTAAATATTAAATCTTGTAATTCTAAGATATTGTATATTATAAAATTAAAACGAATAAAATTACAGGATGTTTGTTTTATTTAGATTCGATATATTTAAAGAATTAAAGATATTAAAAAAATGTTCTTATAATAATTATTTAGTAAAGAGAATTATGGTATAAAATTAAACTTCTTTTATTAATTGGAGTTGTTTCAGAGATTTCAAAGCCACTTCGATTTTTTTTTTAAGCAATGTACTATACTTTTGTATTCCTAATAAAATAATATGAATAGTAAGTAAAAAAAATTTACATCATAATAGTTGTTCAAAGTTTCAATGTTTGCATTAAAATTGTTGAAAGACAAAAGACATATCTAATTGTTCACTAAGTGAATATTTTATTTTTACTTTTTAATTTAAAATTTAACTTGCTAATAAAATTATTAGCAATATTTCATTACTTAAAAAAATTTAATTGATACTAATAGAAAGAAAAATTGAATTTTATAATTAGCAATTATTATTTATATTGCTTATCATTTTATAATATTGATATTATATATATTAGATATTAATATTTTTTATTATTTTGTTTCATATTAATATAATAAATATGTAAAATTATATAATGATAATTAATATGAATTTTTATATTATATAACATCTAAAAACATATATACAAACAATATATAGACATAACAAATAATGAAAAGATATATAAAAAAAATTGTAATAATTCAAACGATAAAATTATTCTAAAATAACAAGTTTATTTTAATAATTTGATGATTTCAATTTCAATATTGTATCAACATAAACCATATCATTTTAAACATTTATTATAATATAAATTCATTATTTGACGAATGAGTTTGTATTAAAAATTATTGAAATCATTTAGATTATTATTTTTTACTTAAAATAGAAAAATAAATTTAAATAACATTTTAAAAAATCGAAATTATTTTCGAGAATTTTTTGGGACTTATGGAAAAAAAATCTTTTTCACATTATGATTCGTTCTCTTTGTAATATACACAAAGAGATAAAATTTATATAAATATGAAGTTTATATGAAATATATGAAGTTTCTTCATAATTTTAAAAATAACGAAAATAAATCAAATTTATCAAAATTCATCATTGCCCTACAATCCTCCTCCCCACTCTATTTATAAATATATTTCTACTTTCAACTCTTATCTTCTATTCTGTTCTTATATAACATATTAAACAAACTTCAATTTGATATCTGTAAGAACAAATGGGAATTATATGTAGTTAATTATATATAGTTAATTATACTGTTTCTATACTTGTATTTGTGCGTATGTTGTAATCTTTCAATATTTTTAAATTTTTTTCTGTATGTGAGATTATAATTGATAACGTATAATTGTCTTTCATAGAAATAAAAGCATATTTTCTAAATGTGTAACTTTTATGCAGAAGACATCGAAGTAGAAGGAACTTGGTTGACAATGAGCAAACAAATAGTAACTGTAAAACAAGGGAAATTAGGAGGAGCAGTACTTAAAAGTGCATTAGGATCATTATACATCGCTTTTAGAGGAATACCTTTTGCTGCTCCTCCTGTTGGAGACCTCAGATTTAAGGTATATATATATAATATATTTTATATTTTATATTATTTCACATTGCTAACTAAAATTTATGATAGCAATCATATTTCAAACATTTGTCAGAAATTCGAAAGCATATATTTTATTTCGTATTAATATATGTAATATATACATTTTATATATAAATTTAATATTAATATTAATATAATTATATATAATTATATTATATGTATTAATATTTATATGTTTATTAAAATAATATTAATTAATTATAATATTAATATCTATTAATTATTATAAGTTTTTTTCCGAGTAAAACAATTTTAAAAAATTTTCAAGTATAATTAAAATTGATTACTTCAACAAATTACAATTCTACAAATTAAATACGAATAAATCATCGATTAATTTACAAAATAAGCAAAATGTAAAGTAAAATTTTATTACTTATATCCTTCATCCTTGACTCTGCTTTAAAATTGTATCCAGTCAACGAATTGTAAGTTGGAGAATTTAAATTTTATGAAAAATATCAGTTGTAAATAAAATTATTTTATATATTTTTATCTTATCTTCATATGTTAAATTATCGCTAATTTATTCTTATTTGTTTTAAAAAAAATAGTCAATTTTATTTACATTTTTAAACTTTTTATTCATATTATATATTATAATTTTTAAACTTTTTATTCATATTATTCATATTATTTTATATCTAATAAATAGGTCTGTTATGTAAATGATGTTTATATATTGATAAGAAACAAATATTTATTAACCTATTGTTGAAATTGTAATTTTTCATGTAGATTTCAAAATAATTAAAACAAAATTAAAAGAAAATATTTCAAAATAAAATAAAATTAATTTATTTTATTTTTAAAATTAATTGTTAAAATTAAGATTAATTTATCAAAGAATTCTTTTAATAAAAATTATTTAATCTTATCTCTTGAATGTTTTATATACTAAGAATAAAACTTTGTACTAAGAATAAACATTGAATTACGTTTAAACATTTGTAATTTTTTATAAAACGATTACTTAACATTAAAACTCATAATTGA